CCTCCTCCCTCCTCCCTCCTCCCTCCTCCCTCCTCCTTTTCCTCCTCGTCGTCCTCCTCCTCCTCCTCCTCCGAGAGAGAGAGAGAGGGTGGGCCTGGAGGACTGGCGCAGTGGGCGCCGCGGCCGTTCCAGAGCGATCCAGGAACGCCCTGGAACAGAGTTCCCTGAAACGCTCTTGAGCGAGTTGTCTCCTTCCTGGGCCCAGGAGAGCCCAGAATCGCATCGACAAGTCGACTCGGCGATCGAAACGAATCGGATCGGCGGACATCGGCAGCCGAGTTATCAGCAGACATCGGCAGGCCAGTAGGCCTCCATTGAACCATCGGATCCGCTTTCGGAATCCAATGTCGAATCGAATCGGAATCGGAATCCATCGAAATCGAATCAAATCGAATCGGAGGAATCGAAATGAGCCCTGCTGGACCTGCCTGGGCAGTGTCCCCTCCAAGACTTCTGATGGCCTGACTTGCTCAGTCCGCGGTTCCCAAAAGTCTCGGCCCCTTCCCCATCCTAAATCTGAGCTTCGGGCACCCGCAAACAGATGGACTTGAGATCTGTGAATCTGGCGCGTGGGTGCCTCGATCCAGGAGGAGGAAGGATGAGGAGGAGGAAGGAGGAGGAAGAGCAGGAAGAGGCAGGAGCAGGAGCAGGAGCAGGGGCAGCAGGAGGAGGAGGGGATCCACGGATCGGGGGAAGGATCCCTCGATACATGGCGCCAGTGCCGCCTCCTGTGGCGGCGGATGGCGCCGATGTTGCCTCCTCAAAGCGGGCCCGTCGCAGGAAGAGCGGGAGGCCGGGGGATGAGGAGGAGGATGAGAGAAAGGAGGAGGGAAGGGGAGGGAGGAGGGAGGAGGGAGGGAGGAGGGAGGGAGAGGGAGGGGGAGAGGAAGAGGAAGCTGGAAGAGGCCGGACAGGGCTGGAGAAGGCTGGAGGTGGGAAAACCAAAAGGTACCGATACCGCGACTCCCCGGACCTCTCCCGGAGTGCGTTCTGCCCAGAACCTCCAGCCGAATCCAGCGGTGACGGCGAGGGCCTCCCAGGAGGCCCGAAAAGGGGGGAAACGGGCAAAGGGTAGCGGCATGGGTACCCCCATTCCTCCTCTGGAGAGGAGCCTGGAGGAGGGAGCGCGGCATCAGCACGAGACTCGCGGGCTTCCGACCAGGGGGGCGCCAGCGCGAGCTGCACACCCCCGGCCTCCGATCGAGCCGCCGCACCCCATCGCGGTGAGCGAGAGTGGCTGGCTGCGAAACGGCGCGCGCGAAGGGCCGAGGCGAGGGGGCGGCCCCTGCAGAGACGGGCGGCTGCTCGGAGAGCAGGGGGGGGGGGGGGCTCTGGCGGGGGCCCAAGCGCCCTTCGAGCCCCCCCCCTTCCCCGACGCCCTCGCGCTGCGGACAAACGTACGACGGGAGGTGTGTCGCTGCTTTTTCGGCCTCCCGGTGACTCCGCACCGTCAAAGACGGCTCGGGATGAAAAGCCGGTCCCGGGGAAGGAGGAGGGGGAGGAGAGGGAGGAGGGGGAGGAGAAGGAGGAGGAGGAGGAGAAGGAGGAGAGGAGGAGGAGAAGGAGGAGGAGGAGGAGAAGGAGGAGGAGAAGGAAGGAGGAGGAGGGGGACGAGGATTGGGGAGGAGGGGGAGGAGGAGGAAAAGGACGAAGAGGAGGAGGAGGAGGAGGAGGAGGGGCAGGAGGAGGTGGAGGAGGAGGGGGAGGAGGGGGGGACCACTGTAAACCCAAGAGTCATCAACGATGTTGAAATTAACCCTCCCTCCAAGCTCCCTCTTCATAGGCCCCTACAACGGTTCATTTCCAATGAGGGAACTGCATCGTTAGAAAACAACCGATTGAAGACTGCGAAGCATGCCAAAACATTGTCGGAATTTCCACGCCACGGATCAACCTGACTGCTGCGTCCTGCCGATCTCGAATCGTGCCATAACGCCTTTATTGGGACTTCAACACCGCGAATCAAAATAATTGCTGCACCCGCATAATCCTGAATCCTTTCAAGACACCGTTCTGGTACAATAATCTCGGGAATCCGTGAAACTCTTGCAAATGTTTAAAACGAATGTGCGCGGCGCCAAGGCGAGAGCCACATTTTGAAAACCACCCACCCTCAACCCGTGAAGTTCTTGCGAAGTTTTAAAACGAATGCGCGCGGCGCCAAGGCGAGAGCCACATTCTGAAAACCACCCCCGCCCTCAATCCGTGAAACGCTTGCACTTTGTTTCAAACGAATGCGCGCGGCGCGAAGGCGAGAGCCACATGTTGAAAACCACCCGCCCTCAATCCGTGAAAGCCTTGCAAATGTTTAGAACGAATGTGCGCGGCGCCAAGGCAATTGCAACATTTTGAAAACCACCCTCCCTCAATCCGTGAAACTCTTGCAATTTGTCAAACGAATGCGCGCAACGCTAAGGCGAGAGCCACATTCTGAAAACCACCCGCCCTCAATGTGTGAAGCTCTTGCGAAGCTTTAGAACGAATGCGCGCGGCGCCAGGGCGACAGCCACATTTTGACAACCACCCGCCCTCAATCCGTGAAACGCTTGCAATTTGTTTTGAACGAATGCGCGCAGCGCTAAGGCGAAAGTGTTGCCATCGTGTAAGCTGCAGCATCATAAATGCTGAGGAAGTCTAAGGCGAAACGCCCAGCCCGCCCTAAAAACTGGCCGCGGGGTGCGACAAGGAAAAGCTATGTATAAGGGAAAGGAATGGAGGAGAAGGAAGAAGAGGAGGAGAAGGGGAAGGGGAAGGGGGAGGGGAGCCTCTGGGCGTCGACGTTGCGGAAACAACAACAACAACAACAACCACAACAACAACAACAACAACAACCGCAGCAGCAACAGCAACAGCAATAACAACAACAACAACAACAACAACCACAACAACAACAACAACAACAACAACAGCAACAACAACAACAACAACAACAACAACAGCAGCAGCAGCAGCAGCAACAACAAAAATAGCCACAGCAACCACAACGACAACAACAACAACAACAGCAAGAACAACAACAACAACAAAAACAACAAAAACAACAACAACAACAACAACAACAACAACAACAACAACAACAACAACAACAACAACAACAACAACGACAACGACAACGACAACGACAACGACAGCGACAACGACAACAACAGCAACAGCAACAGCAATCACAACAACAGCAACAACAGCAGCAGCAGCAACAACAGCAGAACCCACACACTCACACACAAGCGAAAAAAACAAAAACAAAAAAACAAACCAGCCGTCTCTTAGGCCAGCCCCCGTCGCGTCGCCCTCCGTGCGCGCCGCCGTGGCGGTGCCAGGCGAGGAGCGGCGGCCGCCCTCGCCACGGCTTCGGGCCGGGGGCAGCGGGCGAGGGGGGGAGGGGAGTGCTGCCCGGCGCGACCGACGAGACGCCAGCCCACACGGGATCCAAATCCCCGCCCCTCCCAGCTGCACGCATTGCACGAACAGAGGAGGAGGAATGGAAGGGCACGGCCCGGAAGCATTCGGCAGGAGCTCTCTCTCTCTCTCTCTGCGGCCCCGGCAAGGGAGGGGCAAGCGGGAGGCCCGACGAGAGGGTCCAACGGGAGGAGAAGAGGAAGAGGGGATAGGCGAGAGGCAGGAGGTGCGAGGCAACTTCCAGGTCGCCCAAAAAAGGGGAGGGGAGGGAGAGGCGAACGCAATGATAGCGTGCAACACCGGTCTCCGAAAAGCGCGCTACCCCCCCAAAGAAGGCTTCCTCCGCGCACGCTGTCCACGTGAGGCGATTCCCCTGCGAGGGCACCGCATGCGCACGCCGGCCCCCTGCAAGGGCTTCTTTGGTGTACGCTATCCTTAGGTCGGGCATGTCCCCTACAGGCGTATTTTGGACGAAAATTGCAAAATTGACCAAAAAATGCCACAAAATGATCAAGAATAGCAGACAAATCGTCCCCTGACTATCTTCTGAAAATTCCTCCTGTAGAGGGACATGCCCGACGTCACGCCATCCCCAAGGGTGGGGAGAGAGAGCGTGTCATGAGCGAATTGCGGGCGCCACATCGCACGCAGCCCATGCCACGCGCACCCCCTCGTGCGGAAACGGGCCAGGCGCTGTTCACCGAGGCCTTGCGCGCCGCGGTGACGAAGAAGCGCCGGGGGGAGGGGGCCCGCGGAGGCCGGGAGTTGCCCGGGGCCTCTCGTCGCCAGTGCTGCACAGCGAGGGGAGGGTGGGGGGGCGGGGAGGGGAGACGGCTTCTGACCTCTCTTCGCGTGCAGGGGGTGCGCCTCAGGCTCTTGCTTTGGGTCGGGCCTGTCCCCCTACAGGCCGAATCTCGAAGAAGAAGTAAAGATCGCCAAACAATGCCCTAAAAAGCTCAGAAATGGTCAAAAAATCGTCCCCGCACTAGTTCCTTGCTACTTTTGAATATTCCTCCTGTAGAGGGACGCGCCCGACTTGACTCTTGTTCGCGCCCACCCCGGCTGGGATGAGCCCTGCCTCCCTCGCTCGCCGCCTCGGTACCTCGCGCGCTCGCCCCCGCTCCAGCTTCCCTCCTCTCGTCCTCTTCGCCTCGACTGCGATAGACTGACGAAAGATCAGCACACAACCATACCCATTATTGGGGGGTCGGAGGGAGAGGGACTGACTATAGGTATGGGTGCTGGTTGTCGGACCCTGGGGATGCTCCCGTTCGAGCGGGGACCAGCATCCGACAACACGCACCCATGGCCCCCGCCGTCCTCCCTATGGGCATGGGTGTGTGTACTGCTATTTCGTCAAAGGTGGGCAGGCAACAACGCACATGGAACAACAACCTCACAAACGAACATGCAGATACAATGCCGTGGCCCTTCACAGGGTGATGCGCAAGGCCCTGCTGATCTCTTTCTTGGCAGCTTCACTCTTCCCCCCCTCCACACCCCACAGCTCTCCGCTCACAGGAAGCGTGAGCTTGCAACTGACATGCGACCCCGCGCGGGAGGAACGGCAACCCCAGATAGTCGAACTCTCCTACACGCGATACCATGTGCGCGAGCTCTTGCGTCAACGGCCGACAGCTGTCTCCTGCACCCTCGTTCCTGTTTCCGACATCACCCTAGGCAGGCACGTGGGTAATGGGAGGATAGGACGCGGAGGGAAGGAATGAGACGGATGGGAGGGAAGGATGGCGAGAAGGGAGCCAAGCCATTGCGCTCTGATCACGCTATGCCTGGCACGCGGCTGCAGTGTGCTTCATCGGATGGTGGATGCATCCACGTCGGCAACGGGCAGCGCAGGCATCTCGATGTTTACGCCGAAGATGCAGAATCCACACCTCGCCGCAAGAATGCGCACGAAAACTGTTGAAGGCCTAACCACAGCCTTGAAAACGTGCGCGGCCCCTACACAACATCCAACTGTGAGAGTGCATGCCGTGAAGAGGCACTTCACTTTCGACAGCACAACCGAACAGCCCACTTTGAAAGAAGTGCTGCCTGCACGTGAGTTGCTCCGAGTCCACCACAAAAAGACACCCTCGCATGGGAATGCCTGATGACCTGACGCAGACATTATGCTAGCCGTCACAGGCCAACGAAGAAAATAAATGGGCTGGCCTCTCCCTGATAAGGAGAAGAGTAGTCCAAGCTAGATCTCGCAAGAATTGGCACGCACAACGTCTTAAAGAATTGTAGCTGGCTCGAGTCGCCGACTTGGGCAGCAGATGATACAGGCACTAGCAACCAAAGCAAGCGCGAAATTCAGAGGGTCGGCACGACTAATCTGGAAAGTCCGCCGGCCGAATCAGCCAAAGCGCATTGCGAACGCAAGCGGAACACGATTTCGTTTCGACGCACAAACGACAGTCTCTGGCCTGCCTGGGCACCCAAGGAGACGTTGGCTGGAGGCAGCAGATCCAAAGTGCTCGTTGAATGCACATATTCTGTATTGGCGGATTCCGCGGAGCGCATGGATACTTGTCAATCTGCATCAAATCATCTAGTGGCACATCACGCTGCTTCACATCATCTGGAGCGTCGACGTCCGCGCGCAGATCCTTTATCCTGACCATGCCATTTTCCCACTCGTCTGGTGCCACAAAGGCAATCCGTCTGCCCCCGACGCGGTCTGCGTACTTGAAGGCCTTCTTGACCTCCGGAGGGCTGGTCGGGGCAGGCCAGGCCAAGGATGCCTGGAACGGGATCTTGCCTCTTGGGTGGGGCACGAGAACAACAGCGAAGGAGGCTAGTCCGAAAACGACGTGGGGCGGTAGTGCAGTTCGGGGAAGTGGATTGGATGGTTGTGGATGGAGGAATCGAAGCGCGGAGCACAGCAGCGGTACCCGCTGGCCAGAGCACAAGGAGGCGACAACTGCGGATGCGCTCCCTCTCTCTCTCTCTCTTTCTCTCTCCCGGGGACCCCGTGGGAGGCGACAGGGAACACGAGAACAGTGACGAGGCCGCGCATTGGCAACGCACGCAGAATCTGAAACCAGGCTCCTCGCCACCTGCTATGCATCTGCAAACGGAGACGTCCTTATGAACACACGCTCTGCTGCACGATCATTGCTTGATCTGGGCGTGCTGACATGAGTGCTTGCAGCCGAAGCGCTGGGCCATTGACTTTGCCACGCGCCATGCAGCAACTACTCTCCCATTTCGAACGCTGCACTCATGAAGTTGCGACACACACGCGGTGTGCATGCACCGCAAATACCACCCTTCGGACTATAAGAAAATTGGGGGGTGGCACCTCCCGATACTCAATGTGTAATATTGACGTGCGCGTGTCCATAAACATTTCACTTACAATGTTTGCACATGGGGGTTTTAATGTGATCGAATGCACTGGGCGGGATCTGGCGGCCATGTGGCCGTCGCCGCCCGTCGCCGCCCCGTCGCTGGGCAACGACGGTGCCGGTCTAGCAACTAAGTGGCCGCCGTCGCCGTTCGTCGCCGCTCCGTCGGTGGGCGGCCGTGCCAGTGTAGCGGTTGTGTGGCCACCGTCGACGCCCCGTCGCCGTTTCGCCGCCGCCTGTCGCCACCCGTCCCACGGGCACTACATTAACATCGCAACGCCGCGCATTGCATTACACTGTTGCAACGCAATCGCATTGCATTGTAATATCAATCATCAACACTGCAGTGCAACGTACTGGTTTACAGTATTGCTTTGCATCGTGTTTAAATTTTGCGCTGCTTTACATTGAAAGTCGATTACACCATAGAACATAAATTTAGTTTGTATTGCATTGCACAAACTGCACCAGATAACTCTCACCACATAACCAACAAATGCGTGCATAGCTTGAACCAAATAACTAACATCACACAACTTGCACTGCAGAAATTGCACACATGTCGTTCGCACTGCATAGAATCTCCTCTCAGGGATACTCGATATCCCCCCCCCCAGTTTTACCAAATCCCCTGGGGCTATAAAATTCATACAGATTGGGCCCACTTTTCAAAATTAAACTCGTACCATCCCATCCAGCACCCGTTATCGTCCTTCCCCCTTCATCCCTGTCAAACAATTCGGCGCACACACTCGTTCATCACAAGTCAAAATTCAAGAACCCCCAAAAATCCCCGCGACGCATCCAGTTGTTCCGCATCAAGTGTGGAGAAAAATGGCTCACATTTGCACGGACAACGACAGCGCAGGCGCTGTCATTTGCTGCGCGGGCTTTACGGAGAGAGCGCGCGTTGATCGACTCACTGGACAGCGACAGAAGCACGAGGACTGAGGCCCCAGGCTCGAAGAGAACACGGGGGTGGAAACGAGGGACAAGAGAAAGACGCGAGGTGAACCGAAAAGTCCGCGCGCAGCAGCAAGGAGACGGTAAAGGAGGAAGAGGGCGACAACGAAGGATGCGAAATGCGAAAGAAGATTTGTCTTCCAGCAACACGCTGGACACACAGCGCGGCCCGCGCAATGTCGCTGATCCACAAGATCAGGGTGCTCTAGCGAATGCAAGAAGCACACGACACCTAGCTCGCCCGCCAACGTTCCCGCCTCCTCCCTGCACCTATCGGCGCGGAGGCTAAACGACCGCAGGCGCGCCGCCAGGTCTGTGGGTGGCCTGCGGGCAAAGAAATCAAGGCCGGGAACGCGCATCATCAGCAAGTTATCCACCGTCGTCGCCCTGAACAGCATCACGTAGAGATGCAGCCAGGTCGTCCGTTTCTGCCCGTCCTTGAACATGGCTTCGACAATGATGCCACGGTGCGTGGCTGGGCCGTGGCAAACCTTAGACGTCAGGACCTCAGCATCAGTCTGCGTAAGACGCCACTCCGCTGGACCTCCCAGCAGCCCCAGAAACCGGCGACAGCGTCACAGTTCGCAGCCCCCTGGGGATGGCGAGGACAACCATCGGGACAGCCACAGGACAACCATCGGAACGGCAGCCCAGCCACATGAATGTGCCATCTCATGGGCGACAGCCAGGCTCCGAGCTGGACAAGTGAACAAGGGCGAAGCGAGGGCCCTTCAGCCGAGCTCGATAAGTACAGTGCAACTGGCAAGGAAGCCAGAGAACTGCCCTGGACTTGAAATGTGGCCGATGCTGAGACGAGCACACAAGCCAGCCCGAGCTGGGCGTCCCGAACTTCCACGACGTCTTCGACGACTGCATGGGAGGGGCGCAGCATCTGACCACCGTGCCTCGCGGGGAATCCAGCATCTTTAGACAAGCGCGTTCCACTACTCGCAAAGTAGCTACTCGCAAATGGCATAAATCCGCTTCAGGGAAGTTACGATACATTACACGAGGCAGACGTATGGTTTTTCGGACGTTTGCGAGCAGGCATTTTGCGAGTAGTGGAACGCGCTCGGCGAATCTTCTGCGGCAGAAGGGGGTGGGAGGAGACGTGCGGGGCCGGAGGGGCAGGGGGAGATGGGAGGAGGGGCGAACTCTCGATCGACCTTCTTGGCCGCGTCCGTGAAGAGGTCCACGGTCTTGCCGGCCTTGCGCAGGCGGGCGGCGACGCTCATTGCTGCGGGAGTCCGCGGTGTTTCAGTCAGACGGATCCCTCTCGCGAGAAGGACTGGAACGAGGAGGGGGAGGCGAAGGAGAAGGAGGAGGAGGAGGTGGAGGAGGTGGTGTGGTGCAGCGGTGGCATGACGGTCAACGCGTGCTCAAAGAGGAGGAGGAAAGGAGGGGGGGAGAGAGAGGAGGACAAGCTAGGTGCGCTCGCGCCTCATCTGACATCATATCCCTCCCTCCCATCCCTTCCCATTGTGCTGACTTGTTCCCTATCCGCGGACGCGCGTCGTAGCCGACCCCCAGCCCCAACGAAAGGACAAAATCGTGTTATGCGCAATCGGAAGATAGGACTTGCGCACACAGGCGGAAGCCGAGGTGGCGGGTGAACAGAGAGTGAGCGGGAGGAACAGGACGAGGACGAGCAGCATCAGGAACTGGAGTGGAACGAGCGGGAGAACAAGGAGACCAGGGAGAAGCGGAGGGGAAATGAGGGCGCGACCACGAAAAAACAAACACTCGGATGTAGAACAGTGGCCCGCGCTGGGACGAGAACGCCATTCTGAACGACGGAAGGAAAGCGGAGGTCCGAAAATGAGGACAGTGTTGCAGCGGGAGCAACATTTTGGAAGAACCGAAACTTTCGGATTCGACAAACGTATACCAAAATCCCACTCACAGGCACCCCATGTGTTAAACAATACGCGGAGAGGGAGGGGCGAGCTCCCTCATAGGGGTCTTCGGGGGGAGATGAGAGTAGCATTCATAATGACAAATTGTGGAGGAGGAGGAGAAGGAGGAAGGGAGGAGAAGGAGGAAGAAGGGAGGAGGATGATAAGGAAGAGGAGGAGGAGGAGGAGGAGGAGGAGGAGAGAGGAGGAGAGAGGAGAAGGACGAGGAGGAGGAGCGGAAGGAGGACTGAACTGAACTGGACTGGACTGGACCAAGGCTCCTTCGACGTCGCGATGGTTGCTTCCCGACCCCACCCCGAGAACAATATGTTTGCTGCAGGTCGTTTTCTGCGGGGCAAGAAAGCATCACTAAAAAACGTGTTTACAAGGAGAGGATAAACATCCTCGATCCCGCGGCATTCCCACGACGACGCGATGGCCCCAATACTGATAAGTGGGCAACCGTGTGTTAAAAACACAACAGGGGGGGGGGGGGGGGGCCAAGCGGTAAGGAGACCGGTGGCTCGAGGGGCGCACCGAATCACGAACGGACCCAGGCCCATGGGCCCATTGGGTGATTGGTTCGGCACTTCTGGAAAAAACTGGCAAGGCAAGGCATGGGACGCACAAGGACACACTAGTACTGTATGTCCTCCTTGGAGGCGTGCGTCCGACCCGAACATATAGTGCAACCATCTTATCTTGTAGTACATCCTTTCCCGAGCTGTATGGCCAGAAAGCGACCGCCACCGATCATATACTGGAAGATTTCTCGGTGCGCGCGTCGCCCCCCTGGGGGCGACGCACGCACTAGAGGAAGAACAAACGCCACAAGCATAAACTCTTGGTGCTTCGCGCGGATTTCTCGGATCCGCGCTAGGCCCCCCTCCCTGGCGCGCGGAGCGCGCCAGGGGCGGCGCCGGAGGCGCCACCAGGGGGTCCAGCGCCGATCCGAGAAATCCGCGCGGACCCCAGAGTTCTTATGTTTCTGTCATTGTTCGCTCCCCTATGTTAGTACGCTGGAGTGGCGCCGAAGACAAGGCAAGGCGGTCTGCATGCCAGCTCCGGTGCCGAGCGGTCCCCTGGAGGGCAGGCGCACAACCTCGGGCAGGAGCGGCCAAAAACGCCGTGCAGGCAATCGCTTACTCGCCCACAGGGGGGGGGCAGCTTTGTGCAACGCGGCAGAGGCAACCAGAGGGGCGAGGGAGGGGGGGAGGAGGGGAAGAAGAAGAAGAAGAAGAAGAATGAGAAGAAGAAGAAGAAGAAGGATGATGAGGAGAAGAAGTATAAGAATAAGAAGAATGAGAAGAAGAAGAAGAAGAAGAAACATAAGAAGAAAAATAAGACGAATAAGAAGAAGAAGAAGAAGAAGAAGAAGACGAATAAGAGGAAGAAGAAACAGGATAATAATAAGAAAAAAAATAAGAAAAAGACAAATAAAAAGAATAAGAAAAAGAATAATCAGAAGAAGAAGAAGCCGCCTCGCGGGACTGCCCGCGTCGCCGTTGCGGCGGCCCGGGGCGGGAGCCTCAGAGGAGCGCGAGGGCTACGAAGCCGAGAGAGAGGGGGAGGAAGAAGGGGGGAGGAAGAAGAGGGGAGGAAGCAGGGGACGGGGAGGGGGAACACGCGGCATGAAGGGGAGGGGGAGGAAGATGGGGAGGAAGAAGGGGAGGAAGAAGGGGAGAAGGGGAGGAAGAAGGGGGAGAGGGGGAGGAAGGAGGGGGGGGAAGAAGGGGAGGGGAGGGGAGGGGCAATTGAGGAACCACCTTCATGCAGCCGGTGGCCCCGGCGCGCGCCCGGGGCGGCCACACATCGAGAGATGTGCCCAGCAGCGGGGGCGAGCCCAGCCTTCTGCACTAGCTGTCGTCACCCCCTGCTTCTCCTCCCTTGCGGGCCCCAGGAATATACACCACCACCACCACCACCACCACCACTCCCCCATCCCTCCTCTACCCTCCTCTCCCCATCCTTATACCCTCCTCTCTTCTGGGAGAGGAACGGGGTGAGGGCGGTGGTGGTGGTGGTGTATATTTGGGGGCCCCGTGTCTTTCTCTGATGAAGCGCAAGAAACCTCGGCTTCAGCCCGTTGCTTCTCACTGCTTGGTGCTGCAGCCCTGTCGACTCGGAGAGAGACGCCTTGTCGCGGGAATGATCCCATGGCCGGCCGCTCCCGCAAGATCAGTAAAGCCTTCGAGCTCAATTTCGCAGTACTGTCTTTCATGCCCGCCCCCTGTCCTTGACGGGGCCAGGTGCACCTGGGCGCTCGCCAGGAGGCTTGCGAACGCTCCCAAATACAAATCGATCTTGCCTCGGGGGGGCCTCGGATAGCCCCCGAGTCACCCCGTGAAGCCTCGCGAACAGGACGCGGCAGCGTCGCGCACGATCTCGACCGGGGCCGCAGACCCCGGCGTCCTGCGGCAGCGGCCAGGCCGCCGCATCGATCCGTGAGCTCATCCCGGGGCCAGTAGACCGGACGACGGCGCCCCATGCGCGAAGATAGGAGGGCACCAACTATACACCAACACCGATCCCGGCCAGGATCACCCTGGGCCCAGGATCGGTGTATACGCCCTCCTGCCTGGGGCAAGAAGGCATACACACCGATCCTGGGCCCAGGATTGGCCTGGCCAAGATCGGTGTTGGTGTATAGTTGGTACCCTCCGAGAAGAGAGCACATCGCCTGGACCCCAGGGCATGCCCCTGAGTGGGGGCGCCCCGGGAGCGTGCCACGAGGCGGCCACGAGGCTGCGCCGGGTGCCCGCCGGTGCGGCGCGGGCGGCGGGGCCGAGAGGAGCAGGCAGGCACTGTGGGCAAAGGGGAGAGCGCCCGCAGCCCCTGGGCCCCCGCAGCGAGAAGCGGCTCGCACAACAACCGCTCGCAAGTGGCCCGGGTCCGCCGCGGAGTGTTACGATTGTTTTTCTATATCACACGTTTGCCACACGTTTGTGTGGGCACTTTGCGAGTAGTGGAACGCGCTCGGTGAGACCGGGACACTAGACGAGCGCTTCTGCGGCTCGCAGAGTAACTACTGCCAAATGGCCTGGATCCGCCACGGGGGATCTATACGATAAATTACATCATAGCAGACATGTGCTTTTCGGACGTTTGCGAGTAGGCACTTTGCGAGTAGTGGAACGCGCTCGGTGAGACAGAGACACCATCAGACTGGGAGAAGTCGTGGATCTCTGAGGCCCGGCGGTGACGGATAGTGCATCGGGCGCCGCGGCCTTCTCAGAGGTGCGCGAACCTCTCAGAACGTTCCGGAGCGCTCTCAAAGCCATCCCCGAGCCTGGACCCTGAACCCTGGATCCTCGACCCTCGATCCTCGAACCTCGATCCTCCATCATCCATCCTCGGACTTCGAACCTCGATTCTCGATCCTCGACCCTCGAACCTCGAATCTCGATCCTGGCCCCGCCCAAGGACGCCTGGCGTTAGGTCGGGCATGTCCCCCTACAGGCGGATTTTGAACGAATAATAATTATTATTTCTTATTTTTTTCCAACCAAAAAAAAACATGCTCCACAAAATACTCCAGAAATTGTCCCCTGACTATTTTCGACTGCCAGGCTTCCCTGCGCCGCGTTTTTAGCCCCCAGAGGCCCGGCAGGGCGAGCCTGGGAGGCTACCTGCGAGCTCCACCACACCACCCCCCTTCGAGAAAGCGCGGGGGTGGTGGGGCAGGATCCAGGATCGAGGATCGAGGATCGAGAATCAGGGGTCGAGTATCCAGGATCGAGGATCGAGGATCGAGGATCGAGGATCGAGGATCCAGTGTCCAGGCTCGAGGATCGAGCATCGAGGCTCGAGGATCGAGGATCGAGGATCCAGGGTCCAGGCTCGGGGATGGCCTCCCAAAATCGTGCGGTGGTGGGGTGGGGTTCGCACGTGGCCTCCCATAGACGCTTTTGGCTAGGACGTGAGAACGGTGTGTGGCATCGGCCCCATATGTTGGTCTTCTAAAAGCAGCTAGGCTTGGCCCTCCAAGTGATGCACCAATTTGCTAGACCCTGAGCGCTGCAGACGGGGGGATCTGCAGGCGAGGACACTGGCACCCCAGCAGGTCTAATGGGCCCTGACGCGTTGGAATCGGCGCAACGCCCGAGCTGTTCGAATCGAGATAGGAATCACGCGTCAGAGCGCTCGCTTCGACACAATTCGGATCGGAAATCGCAACAGACGAGTCGGCGCGGGCTGGAGGATAGTCAGAGCGAGCCCTGGAAATGGAGGAAACGACGTCCTTTGCCCATCATGCTATCGTTGAACGCGGCCACCACGTAATCAACTTTGTACTCCAACTGTGGCAAAACGTTCTTCTCTTTGAGAAGCTCAACGATCACGCAGTCGCCGAAGCCGAATCCCACGCAGGGCACCTCCCAGGAGGAACAATGCAGCATATAGCTTGCCTCTTATCAGTGTCAATTTCACACTCCAGACCAGGCTGGAAACCGATGGAAGTGTCAGCTCCATGGCGCCCCCAATCAAGCGATCTCACAAGCCCCTAAAATCCGCACGCCAGACACGTGCGACAAAACACGAAGAAACACGCCAAACGCACAGGCATGCAAACATAAACACAGCGATGCAAAGGGAAACTGGAGAACACAACTGGCGCTTGCTACCTTAACCGATTGGTAGACAACTCATGACAAACCAAACGTAAGCCGGGGGTAAATGTGAGAAGGGGTCCGATCATCCTCCTCAGGGCAGCAGCTGGGCAACTCAAAAAGACAGGTGGGTAATCAACGACAGAGCAGATCGCGCGAGCACGTGGGAGCTGCAGCATCCTTATCTCAGCTAAGTAGTATCAGAAGGCAAAATAAATATAGCTCAAACGAGGAACTGTCGAGCAGAAGAGGAGCAGGAGCGAGGACGGGATCGGGAGGGAGAGTTGGAGCTGCGGTGTGGTCGTAGCTGCAGAGGTAGTGGTAGTGCTGAGTGACAGTGGTATGTAGCGACTGTGGAAAAGGAGATGGCACAAGTAGCGTATGTAGCTTTAGCTAGTGTGTGATGGCTAGTGGCCAGTGGGCAGTGGCCAGTTCCAGTGGCTAGTGGTTGGTGGCTGGTGGCTAGTGGCTAGGAACTACGCGCTAGTCTCAGGTGCTTGTGGCTAGCGGCTGAATGGCCACTAGCCAAGTTGCAGCGTTACTGCTCACCATAGTGTTCGTGCTGGTGCTAGTGCTGGTGCTAATGCTGGTGCTGGTGCTGGTGCTAGTGCTAATGCTAGCGCTGGTGCTCGTGCTGGTGCTGGTGCTAAAGCTGGTGCTAATGCTAATGGCAGCGGCAGTGGAAGCAAAAGTGGCCGTGACGGACTAGCTCCCGCGGCGCCATGGGGGCGGTGGGGCTGAGCCAGGACGGGGCTGGGGCCTGCTCACTGAAGATTGATCATGAGGAGCGCGAGACGACATGAGTCTTGTTGGTACAGTTGAGGCTGCAGTAATCCACCAGTGTGCCGCTAGGTACGGACTAGAACGTCCTCAGGTCCCTTCGAGCTCTTGGGCGCTCCCCTCAGAATCCTCGGGGCTCCGGGCGAGCCCGGGCGCTCTCTTGGGCCCTTCCTGGAGCTCTGGGGGCGCCCCGCGTGACTTCTCCCGAAATCGAACATCAATGGAAAAATACGTTTCAATGATATCGGCCTCTTTCTTGGAGCCGTACAGGCCCAAGAGCTTGTCGTAGCGGCCACCGCCGCAGATGGCTCTCAGCTTGCCGGCCTGCGCCCCCCCTCTCTCTTGGGCTGGATGTTCATCCTCATCATCCTCATCGTCACCACCATCAGTAACGTCATCCTCGGCAACATAATCATCATGATCGTCCTCATCGTCATCGTCAACAGCGATGGTCATCAGCAGCAGCATCATCAGTAGCATCAGCAGCATCATCAGCAGCAGCATCAGCATCAGCATCGCCATCACCATCGCCATCATCGTCATCGTCGTCATCATTACCACCGCCACCATCATCAGCATCATCAGCAACATCATCATCATCGTCATCATCAGCAGCATCATCATCAACAGTATCATCAGCATCATCATCATTAGCAGCAGCAGCAGCATCAGCATCAGGATCAGCATCAGCATCACCATTATCATCATCGTCATCGCCATCGCCATCACCATCGTCTTCGTCATCGTCGCCATCGTCATCGTCATCGTTATCGCCGTCACCATCATCGTAATCATCACCAGCAGCATGCTTATTTCCCCCTTCTCTTCCGCCTCATGCTTGGGCAGGGTGGGGAAAAGAGGTAACGCGTTCGACAATGGGCCCACAGCAGGAATCAACGAGCGGAAGTAAAGGAGAGAACCCATGCAAAACCAATCAATACCCAATTACACTGGGACTGACGGACTCACGCCTGCGACTCAGACAGAGCGCGTCCATGCATGCTCTGTCAGAACTACGCTTGCACATTGAAAGTGTGGTGACCCGACGACTACGACCATCGCGACCGTTGAGGCAACAGCGACGGTTAGCACTACTGGGAGGCGTAAACCAAGATTGCGGCTACGACGATTGCAATTCGAGAGGATCGAGCAAACACGAGAATCATGCTGCCTCTCCCCATCCCATACCTTCCTTCCGCCTTACGCCGCTTGCCTTTCTTTCCGCCTTCTGCCTTACGCCGCCCGCCGCTTGCGAGCATTAGCTTGCGAGCCCAGCAGGCGCAATGTGTCATACATGTTGGTCCCCTCCTCCTCCTCCTCCTCTTCCTCCTCCGCCTTTTGCTCTTCTCAGCGGGAGCGACGTTTCACCAATTCCGGAATGCGATTGCTTGAACTTGCTTTCCTGCCCACGCGCTGGATGGCGTATTGCTCCTGAGTGAGAGTGAGGTCCTGAAGCTCCTGCTGGCGCTGTAGGTTCACAGGCCCGTGTCACCTCCCCCAGCATCACGCTATCTCTGGCTTGGCAAATGAATCCTCTTGATCTCTCAGCCCAGTCCCCGCCTCGCCTTGTCGAAGCCCTCGAAAACGACACCTGCAGGCAGGCAACTTCACCCTGCTATCAAGCAAAAGACGCTGCTCAGTCAAATCGTCAAATCCTTGCTTGCTTGCCCCCTATCCGCCACCCGAACACCACCCACCACTGGCCACTTGCAATCGAACTCTTGAGATGGTGTCCCGCGCTTCATCAGGGTGAGGGCGTTCAATGGTCTTACATTGCCCCTGGGTGCGCGGCTGGAGTGGGTTTCTGTGGTGCCGAGCTTTGCGATGTGATTACCAAGGATGAGGTGACAAATGCGAGCATGTCAAAATCTGACAGCGCAAGATCCGCACAAGGAGTGGCAGCGCAGAAGAAACTTATGTCCGTCCTATCGGAGGACCCGATGATTCCTGATGTGGAGGCCTGCGACAAGCTCCCATCGAAGCCCTCCACTCTTATCTCTCAAGATCCACTCGGGACCCCTCAGACGCTCACTGATCGCTCGTACTCAGACCCGTCTAGGCAGAGAGTGGACAAGGGTGGCGACATCGTCCGACCATCGGATAGCAGTATAAGGAAGCTACGAGTGAAAGTGCGGGAAGAAGAGGGAGGAAGAGAGGCGGAGGATGAGGAGGAAGGTGAAGAAGACGGCATGGGCAAGAGACCAAAAACCTTATGCTGAAAAGGCCGCCCTTGGTAAAGACGGAGGGCCTCCTGAAACCTCCGCCGAACCTCTCCCGGGCAAAAAAGCGAACGAGCAGCTCAGGAGCAGCCTGTGTAGTACGCCAGGCCGCGCACGACAGAAGCGTCGAACTGGAGCCAGTCTGCGTAGCCGTAATCCTTGATGCATCGGGAAAGATGGATAGCGAAACCGTGGCAACCAAAAGATGCCCAGAATGGAACATCTGCCTCAGATCCCACCAGTCATCTGGGCGTAGGTGGTCTAACGGTGTTTGCTGCCTGTCTTCCAAAACCCCATCTTCTTCTCCAGGCCACTCATGAATGTACACCCCCTCCCCCACCCGACTGGCAACAAAGCAGGGTCCACCACCTCCACCATCCCAGTTGCAAAAAAACGATGCAAAGTGCACGCTGCACCAAAATTTGGATCATGCGCGGACGCCCCGCCATCACGTCGGCTTGGTTTGTAAAAGGACGGCGGGGGGGGGGGCTGGCGTACTGCCTGCTGTGTGCAGGCCTACCACCCCTGTTAACAAAAAAGGGAAAGCTCACTTTGCCAGGAACGGCGGGGGGCATACTGCCTGCTGTGTGCAGGCCCCCTAACCCTGAGAAAAACAAGCGCAAAATGATTGCGGGTGCACAGATGGTCGCAAGCTCTGGGGTGCAGCAAATCCGAACTGGTCCCCCATATTCGCCCACGCGTGCTACCAGAACAAACTGCCAAGGAGCATGTTTCGCCCTGAACGAAAACTGGTATGAGTGCATCCGAGGGCAGGATTCTGTGATGATGGGATCCGGGGAAACGCTCCCTGCCCCAAACGACTGCTTCGGCATGGCGCTCGGATACCCAAACGAGTTCCGTCCGAGGTGCACGGTCACATCCCCCCACCGCTGGCCGCTCGGAGGGGAACCGTGGGGGGCCCCTGGCAGTGGACGACTGGACCCGGGCCTGCGGCCCCCCGGCGCCAGCGGGCGGCAATGGGGCTACAAGGCCACCACGAGGCCATGGGGAAAGGGGGCAGCGGGCTTTTTACTCGGGTGTGGCCCAACTGGAGAAACCAAAAGGTACCGATACCGCTACTCCCCGGACCTCTCCTGGGGTGCGCTCTGACCAGGATTTCGAGGCGAATCCAGCGGTGGCGACGAGGGCCTCCGAGGAGGCCCAAAAAGGGGAAAGCCAGGAGAGGGAGGAGGCAATATGGGTGCCTGTTCCTGCGCGGACCAACGGTGCAGAGGAGCGGTGGCGGGCCTCGCGGAGGCGAGATCGATGCCCGCGGGCACCACTTGGGGATCCCAAAACCGCGCGGTGACAGACCGTGCGGTGACCTCGGAACCCCAAGAGACCTCACCCGCACGGTCCGTCACCACACGGCCTTGGGACCCTGGAGGCTCCAGTCGCCCGAGGCATCCTCGGAGAACGACCCAAGTCCCAAAACCGCGTGGTGACCCCGAATCCCCACCGACTCACCACGCGGTATGGTCGCCACCCCGTCTGGGGGCCCCCGAACCTCTCGCGGTGGACGGGCGTGCACCCGGCGGGCGGGCGCCTCTCTGCGCCCCCCCCCCCCTGACACAAAAGAGGGGCGGCAGTGGCGCGGGCCGGCCGAGGGCGCCGAGGGCCACGCGGACGGGATCGGTCAGCAGCGAGCCGGGGGACGCGAGGGGCGTGTTTTCCACCACCGCCACCAAAAGCTGGAGAGGGGGGGGTCCTCCTCCTCCTCCTCGTCCTCCTCCTCCTCTCCTCCTCCTCCTCCTCCTCCTCTCCTCTCCTCCTCCTCCTCCTCCTCCCTCCTCCTCCCTCCTCGCCCTCCTCCTCCTCCTTCCCCCCTCCGACTTCTGGTGCTGGTGGTGGAAAACAGGCTCATCAAGACAGGATCGGATCGGAACGTGCGTCGGATCGGGCTGCAGCGGCAAGGAGCCGAAGTCGGATCGGATCGGCTGCGCCAGGAGATGCACAACAGCGCCCCACGAGCAGCGGGTCGCATCGGATCGCCGGACGGCCGGAACCGCACTGGTTCGAGCGGGCCGGAGGAGATATATCGGATCGGATCGATCGGACCGAGATGGGCCCTGCACAGAATCGAATCGGATCGAAGTCGGATCGATCGGATCGAAGTCGGATCGATCGGATCGGATCGATCGACGTCGGATCGCATCGAACTGAATCCATCGGATCGAATCGAATCGATGAGCTCGTGGGGCGGCCATGTGCTCCACAGGCCTCGGGGCCGCCGAGGGGCCACGGACCATCGGGCCTCGAGAGAGCCACGGGCCCAGGACAGCAAGCTCCGATGATTCTGCACCAGGGGGCCAACAGGGACGCCCGGGTCCAGGGGCCACGGACGGAGGGTTCGGCTCTCGCGTGCCCACCCCCTGGAGGCTCGTCGGGTTCGCTGTGGGAAGTGCAGCTGGTCGGTTCTGTTCGGCCCTGCAGCGTTCGTGGTCGGAAATCCAGCTGGAAGAGCATGTGTGTGCATTTGTAGATGAATATAGAAAGAGATAAAAGAGAGGGAGAGAGAGAGAGAGAGAGGGAGAGGGGAAGAGAGACAGAGAGGGTGAGAGAGATGTTCCCCAAACAGTGCTTGAACTAATGGGTTCTCACTTGGGAATTACTAGGAAACTGGGCCTGTCTGTCGGTCTGGCGGCTATGTTGCCGCCGTCGCCAGCCCGCGTCGCCACCTCGTCGCCGCCCGTCGTCTGGGCCTGTCGTCTGGGCCTGCCTGTCGGTCTGGCGGCAACTGCCGCCGTCACCTTCCCGTCGCCGCCTCGTCGCCGCCCGTCGTCTAGGCCTGTCTGTCGGTCTGACGGCTATGTTGCCGCCGTCGCCGCCCCGTCGCCGCCTCGTCGCCGCTCGTGGCCGCCGTTAGATTCTCCTTTCTAAAAAGAGAATAGACTCTACCCCCCCCCCGGACTTACCGCTTCCCCCTGGGATACTATAACTTCAAATATATTCTGCACAGTGGTCCATCCTAAATATGAAATCATATCATCCCAGCCAGGCCGGTTTCCCCCCCCTGAGGGTCCCTTGTAAAAAACACTATGCGGTGGCCTTTTTTGCTCTAGCATGACACTTTTTCACGAATCCCTTGCAAAAAATTAGACGAAGTGCACACGCGCGCGTCGTCGCGCGTGCATGCCGAAATCCTTCAAAAACCTTCGGTGCGGGAAGGATTTCGCAATCGAGTTTCCAATAAAAACACAAAAACACAGGGTTTCGCAACACAGAGTTGCTAAAAAAGCTTCCGCGAAAGCTCTTGAGAAATCTTAAGAAAACCATAGGTTTTCAAGATTTTCACAACATGCTACCAAACGGGCTTCGCGCGCGCTCATGTCGAAATCTGTCGAACGCCCTTGCGCGTGTGCCGTCGCGAACCTCCCCTGCAAAAAAAGGGACGAAGTGCAGACGCGCGCGTCGTCGCGCGCGTATGCCGAAAACCTTCAAAACCCATAGGTTTCGGAAGGATTTCAAAATCGTGTGTCCAAAAAACCAACAAAAACACAAGGTTTCGCAACACGGATTTTCAACAAAAGCGTGCGCGCGCGCTCTTGCGTCGTCGTCGTCGTCGTCGCCGTCCTCCCTCCTCCCACGTCGTTGTCGTCGTCGTCGCCTACGTCGTCCTCTGTCTTTCCTCGTGTTCGTCATCGTCGTCCTCTTTGGCGTCGTGGTCGTTTCCGTCGTCGTTGTCGCCGTGGTCGTCCTTCCTCCTCCTCCCTCGTCGTCGTCGTCGTCCGTCGTCGGCGTCTCGTCGTCGTCCCTCCTATTTCGTCGCCGTCGTCGTCGTCGTCGTCGTCGTCGTCTTCCCTCCTCCCTCGTCGTTGCCGTCGTCGGCGTCGCCGTCCTTCCTCCTTCTTCGTCGTTCGCGTCGTCGCCGTCTCCCTCCTCCTCGTCGTTGTCGTCGTTGTCGCCGTCGTCGTCCTCCCTCCTTCCTCGTTGTCTTCGTTGGCGACGTCGTCGTCGTCTTCGTCGTCGTCGTCGGCGTCGGCGTCGTCGTCGTCGTCGTCGTCGTCGTCGTCGTCGTCGTCGTCGCCTACGTCGTCCTCTGTCTTTCCTCGTGTTCGTCGTCGTCGTCCTCTTTGGCGTCGTGGTCGTTTCCGTTGTCGTTGTCGCCGTGGTCGTCCTTCCTCCTCCTCCCTCGTCGTCGTCGTCGTCCGTCGTCGGCGTCTCGTCGTCGTCCCTCCTATTTCGTCGCGTCGTCGTCGTCGTCGTCGTCGTCGTCGTCTTCCCTCCTCCCTCGTCGTTGTCGTCGTCGGCGTCGCCGTCCTTCCTCCTTCTTCGTCGTTCGCGTCGTCGCCGTCCTCCCTCCTCCCTCGTCGTTGTCGTCGTTGTCGTCGTCGTCGTTCCCTCCTCCCTCGTCGTTGTCGTCGTCGGCGTCGCCGTCCTTCCTCCTTCTTCGTCGTTCGCGTCGTCGCCTTCTTCCCTCCTCCATCGTCGTTGTCGTCGTTGTCGCCGTCGTCGTCCTCCCTCCTCTCGTCGTCTTCGTTGGCGACGTCGTCGTCGTCTTCGTCGTCGTCGTCGGCGTCGGCGTCGTTGTCGTCTTCGTCGTCGTCGACGTCGGCGTCGTCGTCGTCGCCGCCGTCGTCGTCGTCGTCGTCGTCGTCGGCGTCGTTGACGTCGTCGTCGTCGTCGGTGTCGTCGTTATCGTCGTCGTCGGCGTCGTCATCGTCGTCGTCGTCATCGTCGTCGTCGTCGGCATCGGTGTCGTCGTCGTCGTCGTCGGTGTCGTCGTCGTCGTCGTCGTTGTCGGCGTCGTCGAAGTCGTTGGAGACGTCGTCGGTGTCGTCGTAGTCGTTGTCGGTGGCGTCGTCATCGTCGTTGTCGCTGTCGTCGTCGGCGTCGCTGTTGTTGCCAAATGCCATGTGGTACCCACCGTCCCGGTCTTAAGAGATTTTGCAAACCAAGTTGCGGGTGGGTGGGTGGGATGTTTGCGCGAGCAGTGGAGTGGACAACTCACTGCGAACAGAAATTAATGTCACAACATATATTGCACCACATAGATTGACCCACATAGATTGTTCCACATCGATTGCATCATACAGACTGCGCCACACATATTGCACCGCATCGATTAATGTGGAAAATACATTGTTCATGGTATGCTGCACCGAGGTTGCATTATACTTCATACATCTATATTACGTACGTATGTGTTGCACCACGTCCATGTCACCACATAGACGGCTCCACATAGATTGAACCACACATATTGAACCACATAGATAGCACTACACATACATATACTATACATAAAAATATGTAGTGCACCACATGTATTGCCCAAAATATGTTACAGATCGCGCACATTGCCCATATATTGCACTGTATAAAGATATCTAATTTTTTATACATACATATTGCACCATATAGATTGTTCCACATCGATTGCACAACATGGACTGCTTCACTGAGATAGCAACACGTACATTGTTATACATACACTGTGTGGGGTCCACGCTGGCGAACATGTACACACATAGCTATACAGACAGCATGTGGAGACCAGCATCTCTATCGCGCCCCGGTCCTCCGCAAGCTCAAAAAGCCGCCGCAATTCCTTCACCTCGTCGCTGTCGCCAACTCCAGCTAATTCGGCGAACTCCTGGGTCGGGAGCCAAATTAAAAACTACCAAAAAGCCTGACACACAAGCCATGGCAACATCCGTGTAACTGTCGTTTCTGCTCCTGTGCCGTGCTCAAGATCCCCGTTTGGTGTGATCATACCCGATGGTACCCGCTTGGTTGCCACAAGGGGCATTCGCAACGTGAAGCAAACTGAGAAGCAATCATGATGTCGAGAAAGGCCATGCGGTCCTCCAAATCTTAGCTAAGATTGCGAATCAGGGCAGCTACTAAAACCTCACCTTCTGATTTGTACCTACAGGTGTTCGCACACTCGCCAGGGAAACTGGCACACTCGACATGCAAACAACCTTCGCGACGACCAGCGAGGCGCTTGCAGCGCAGGCATGGCGGGCCAGGGCCACCAGTTGAAAGAGCCTCTTGCTCACCCAGGGGCTGCACCTCAGGCCCTGGGCCTCATCGAGCCCCCCTCGCCGAGGACCGCACGCAACAGGAGCCTCCTGCGAGGAAGACCCGCGGCGCCCTCTTTTTCTGGGTCGGGCACGCCCTCCTGCAGGCGGATTTTGGGCGGAACATGAGAAACGTGCAAAAAAGACGCAGCAATAGTCACAAAAATTGTAGGCGAGTCGTGCCCAGACTACTTGTTTGGAATGTTCTGGGACATTCCTCCTGCAGAGGGACATGCCCGACTCAAACCTTCTTTGCCACTCGCGGGGCAGGGAGGCCCCCGGGGGGGGGGCCCTGGAGGGGCCCCGCGGAAAGGGCAAGACGGAACTGGGGCGTGCGGGGACACGAATGCCCTGGCGGGGAGGAAAACGGTGGCCACGACAAAGACGGAAGTGCGAGGCGGGGATTTCGTTTGGAATCCTTGGGGATGCATGCTACTCAGCAGAAGAAGAGAGCAACTTCGACTCGCAACTTTCCCCCGCGATAATCAAGTTCGGCCTTGCCGCCCCTCTTCCCTGACCTAATGTGCATTGGCCGGGGATAATCAACTCTTAGGTTGGAAGTGGGTACCAGTGATTATCCGGGGGACGGGGTTATCCATATCAACCGCCTGGGAGCCGACGTCCTGGTGCCCCAGCGGGCGGTAGATATGGATATATATATATATATATATATATATGCATTGCTCCCCGGGGGCCGGAAAATAATTATCCATATCCACCGCCTGCAGAGGTCCCCGAAAATTGATCCTCCAAACGGTGGGCATGTATGAATTCCCGCCTCGGATGAACGCGGAAGCGTCGGTGACAAAACTGACCATGACCGAGACTGATCAAAACGAGGACCGTGACCTTGGCGCTTCTGCCCGGATTCTGAACCTTGGACCTTCAAGGTCGCGACGTCCAACGTCGGACCTCGGGCAAGACTGAACGCGGAAACGTCGGTGTCCTTGGTCACCGTCCCATCTTGGTCGCGGTCGATTCGTGGAGTGTCCTCGCGAATCGGCGGCGGTCGGCATGGGCCGTGCAGTCCACCTATGTGGCCCCAAGGGGCCCCTTTACTGCAGCCCTCGCTGCCCCCCCATTCATCGCCGCCCCCATGCGCGAAAATGGCCCTGGCTGCCGCACCTTCTGGAGGCCACCTGTACAAAAAAACAAGAGGCATACGCATAAACTTTCGACGGTCCGCGCGGATTTCTTGGATCTGCGCCAGAACGCCTCCCCCTCCCTGGCGCGCGGGGCGCGCCAGGGACGGCGCCGGAGGCGCCGCCGGGGGAGCCCAGCGCGGACCCAAAAAATCCGCGCAGAGCGCCAAAAGTTGTTGTTTATGCCGCTTTGTCTTTTTCGAGCTTGGGCCCCCATGTGTTCCTACGGACACCCACGGCTGTCCGCATCGCCCGCTCGGCGCCACCGCGCGCAGGCGGGGAGGGGCACGACGACCGCCCACGCCTGAGCACAGCCCGACGTTGCGAAAAAAATGCAGCATCGCAAGAGATGACGACCAGGCCCTGGACCCTACCTTTCTGCCTCACTTTTCAAGCCGGATCGATATGTGTGAGGGCCCTGGGGCCCGAAGCGGGGCGAAAACGCCCGTTGTGAAACGATTGCAACGCCAGGGTCTCCGGGCCCAGACCCCCCCCGACGTCGTGCTTTTTTCGCAACGTCGGCACCCAGAGGTCTGGACCCCCTTCCCGGGACCGGTTTTTCGTCCCGAGTCGTTTTATAAGGTCCCGAGGACCGGTCGGGGCCCCCGAAGGCCGAAGATAGCGAAAAACCTCCCGTCGTGACTTTTCGCAACGCCAGGATCTCAAGGAGCCCTGAACGACCGCAGCGCTCCGACGGCGCTGCGCGATCGCTCGGCATCGGCTGGCTCTCCGGGCCGCGGGGGGCGGGCGACCTCGGCGCCCTGTGCGCGCAGGTCGCCGCCGCGTCCGCGCGGTGCTGCCCTGCACCGCTCGGGGAGGGCAGCTCACATCTGCCCAGGGCTCGACCTGAACCGTGTTTTCTGTCGTTCTGGTTTTGTCCTCGCTTTCCCCTCGTTCTGCCTCAAATTCGACTCCGCCGCGCAGAACCAGATCGAAGCGAAAGCGGCCCCACGAGATCGCCAAAACGCCGCTCGGGTCCCCCCACCTTGCGTCTGCCCGCGGGTCTCCTCCAAGGTCTGCGCCGTGGTCGCCTGCACGATGCGCTCGCTGACCTCGGCGCTGAGCCCGACGTTCTGCACCAGGAGCTTCTGCACGTCCTTGCAGGGAGGATCGCCACGAGGGCAGGATCCAACGCCGCATCGAGAAATCGGATCGGATCGAGACGTGCGCCAGATCGGGCCCGCATCGGCAGGGAATCGCAGGCGAATCGGATGGGCTGCGCAAGAATGCACAACAGCGACGTGCAGGCATCGCGCCGCATCGGATCGCAAAAATATCGGCATCGAACTGGATCGGATCGGACAGACTCGATGTCGAACTGGAGCGATCGGATCGAAATTGACCCTGTGAAAGGAAGAATACGATAACAAAAGCGGTCCTCGAGCAGAGTTCCTCCTCGTGGCGAGGAGGTCGAGACAGAGCTGAGGTCGAGACGGAGCTGAGGCTCAGGGGGGGGGGGAACGTCGACCTGAAATCAGCGATACATCGCCGATAGATCGGCGACAGCCCCCCGATAGCGAAACCACACGCTCTGGGGCGGGGTGGGCTATCAAGCCCCGATCGGCGACGAATGGGCAATTGGAGGTTGATGCATTCCACCCTGAACCTATCCCCCCCTGCCGTTGCCCCCTGGCTTCCGGGTCACAACGCCGCTCCCTGGCGGCCATTCGGGACGAGCCCGGCACCCCTAGAAACGCTCTCTGCGAGGCGCAGCTGCCAGAGCATCCCGAGGCCGGGAGCCCGCCGCGAACGTCGCGCCTCCCGAGCCTGGAAACCTCCCCGCTGGGCCGATGTACTGGAGCGGCGCCCATGCGCCGCACCATGTCTGGACTCCATCCAGGCCCCGCTCCAACGCGGCACGGTGCATAAATCTTCCGCCTGTGGGGGCCGAAGAACGATGGACGGCACCGTTCCCTGGGTCGAGAATCGACGGCACCTCGGGAGACGCCAGCGCTGCACGGTGCACGCAAGTCGTCCACGGACCGAACCTGTTCTCGGCGATGCCTCGGAGACGTCGGCGCGGAGAAAGCTGGGCTACACGTCGAGCCGCCTCGCCGATGCATCGGCGATGTGGCGCTATCCTCCGACCCCGCCTGCTCCGACCCCATATGGGAGGCCCAGAGGGGGGCAAGGAAGGGAGGGGGCAATGGGAGAGGCAATAATGACCCCCGCCCCCGCCCGATTGGCAAACAAGTGGCACGCGTGCCCTGGCTCTTGCACAAAGGAGCTGCGAAGGACTGGAGGCCCGGCCCAGGGGGGCTGCCCTGGGAAGCCTGGACGGAGGGGGGGGTCCCAAGAGGGGTGGCCCAGGGGAGCTGGGGCTCAGGCTCAGGGGAGGGGCCGAGGGGGACGAACCCCGACGAACCACGAACCACGACGAAAATAAGGATGTCCGCGGCCCAGGGGGACTGTCCTGGGAAGCCTGGACGGAGGGGGGGGTCCCAAGGGGGGGTGGCCCAGGGGAGCTGGGGCCAAGGCTCAGGGGAGGAGCCGAGGGGGACGAACCACGACAAACCACGAACCACGACGAAAATAAGGATGTCCGCGGCCCAGGGGGGCTGCCCTGGGAAGCCTGGACAGAGCAAGCCTCCGATGGGTGGGTGGCCCAGGGGAGCTGGGGCTCAGGCTCTGGGGAGGGGCCGAGGGGGACGAACCACCACGAACCACGAACCACGACGAAAACAAGTGGCACGCGTGCCCTGGCTCTTGTACAAAGGTGTCCGAGGCTCAGGGGGGCTGCCCTGGGAAGCCTGGGCGGGGGGGGGCAGAGGGGGGGGGGCAGGGGGACGAACGACACGACACGACACGACACGAAAATAAAAGTGGCCCAGGGGGGCTACCCTGGGAAGCGTGGACAGGGGGGGGTGGGGGGACGAACGACACGACGAACGACGAAAATAAAGGGTTCCGTGGCCCAGGGGGGCTACCCTGGGAAGCGTGGACAGGGGGGGGGGGGGCGAGGGGGACGAACGACACGACGAACGACGAAAATAAAGGGTTCCGTGGCCCAGGGGGGCTACCCTGGGAAGCGTGGACAGGGGGGGGGCGAGGGGACGAACGACACGACGAACGACGAAAATAAAGGGTTCCGTGGCCCAGGGGGGCTACCCTGGGAAGCGTGGACAGGGGGGGGGGCGAGGGGTACCCTGGGAAGCGTGGACAGGGGGGGGGCGAGGGGGACGGGGGGGGCGAGGGGGACGAACGACACGACGAACGACGAAAATAAAGGGTTCCGTGGCCCAGGGGGGCTACCCTGGGAAGCGTGGACAGGGGGGGGGCGAGGGGGACGAACGACACGACGAACGACGAAAATAAAGGGTTCCGTGGCCCAGGGGGGCTACCCTGGGAAGCGTGGACAGGGGGGGGGGCGAGGGGTACCCTGGGAAGCGTGGACAGGGGGGGGGGGGGACGGGGGGGGGCGAGGGGGACGAACGACACGACGAACGACGAAAATAAAGGGTTCCGTGGCCCAGGGGGGCTACCCTGGGAAGCGTGGACAGGGGGGGGGGCGAGGGGTACCCTGGGAAGCGTGGACAGGGGGGGGCGAGGGGGACGGGGGGGGGCGAGGGGGACGAACGACACGACGAACGACGAAAATAAAGGGTTCCGTGGCCCAGGGGGGCTACCCTGGGAAGCGTGGACAGGGGGGGGCGAGGGGGACGAACGACACGACGAACGACGAAAATAAAGATGTCCGAGCTCTAGAGCACAGCTGTGCAAGAGAATAAAGATGTCCGGCCCAGGGGGGCTGCCCTGGGAAGCCTGGACGGAGGGGGGGTCCCAAGGGGGGGTGGTCCAGGGGAGCTGGGGCTCAGGCTCAGGGGAGGGGCCGAGGGGGACGAACCACGACGAACCACGAACCACGACGAAAATAAGGATGTCCGCGGCCCAGGGGGACTGTCCTGGGAAGCCTGGACGGAACAAGCCTCCCAAGGATGGGTGGCCCAGGGGAGCTGGGGCTCAGGCTCAGCTCATCAATCCTGGCGTCGAGCACATCGTATAGCGGATGGCTGTTTCCCTGCGTCTTCAGCCTCTGGACATAGTTGTCCCTTCCCCGACCCCTGCCACGGGATCGCTGCAGCACGACTGGGGATGAAACAAACCCTTGGGAAGGAGTCGAAGTCCCTGGGGGAGGGCCCGAGTCAAGCAAGAACTGTCAGCGACGTCGGAGGAAGGGGTCCCTCCCTCTCTCTCCCTGCTTGGACATGCTGCCACAAGGGTCCTTGCAAGCGAGGAGTGTAGGGGAGGAAGAATAAAAAGAGAGGTGGGCAGGGGAAGGAGGAGGAAGAGAAGTGCGAGGAGAACCAGGAGAAGGAGGACGAGGAGGAGAGGAGAAAGAGCAAGTTACCCCGATCACTTGAGCCCTGAAACGTCACAGCAGACCTCCCTCGTCGTCCTCGTCCCCTGGAGAGGCAACAACCAAGAACTCTGATAGCGATCCCCCCCTGGCAGCCCGAGTGACAAGAGGGCGCCATGCGCGAGGTCCTCCGCCCCTATCTTGTCGAGCTTGTCGATGATGACGCACGTCTCGGCGAAGCTCGAATCTGAGAGTTGCACGTTTCAGTGCCGCCATGCATTGCGATGCAGTCCGACAGCCTCCTAACGCCAGCGGGAGGGGAGGATTAGAAACAGTTTGAAGGGGCCCTGGGACACACAAATAAATAGACACAAATAACAGGATCCCCCATATGTTCCACTATTTTCTGAGTTTTTGCCTTCCCCTCCACTTCCTGTAGTTTCCAATATGTTCTGGGGAATCGACGATTAATTGTGTCTGTGTCTCTCTTCCCCTCCTGACAGGAAGGCGCAGACGGAGGAGGCCGAGAGAGAGGGCAGGAACGGAGGGGGGAGGACGGAGAGGGGAAGACGGAGGGAAGGGGGACGGAAGGATCTGTGGCTCTATGTGCCTGCGGACGGAGGGAGGAGAGGGAGGGGAGGGAGGTTGAGGACGAAGGAGGAGGCTGCGAAACTTGGCCCCAGAGCGGCAGGCAGGCCCTTGACAAGGGGAACACCTATATATATATATATATATATATACATACATACATATATACATATATATACATGCATATATAGCGAGAGAGAGAGAGAGAGTCAGTGTATACACATACATAGTACATACCTACATACATGCATACATGCATATATGCATACATGCATACATGCGTACATGCATACATTCATACATACATACATGCGTACGTACCTGCATGCGTGCATGCATGCATGTATGTATGTATACATACATACGTACGTACATATAGATATATGTGTATATATATATAGATGTGCATAACTATGTACATACATACATGCATACATGCATGCATGCATACAGACACACATACATACATATCTACATATCTACATACCTACATGTCTACATACCTACATACACACCTACCTGCATGCATGCATGCATGCATGCATACATGCATACATACATACATGCATGCATGCATGCATACATACATACACACACACACATACATTACATGCATGCATACATACATATACACATACCCCCATGCATACGTGCATGCATGCATACATACGCACATGTATACATACACATATACACACCTACATATATATATGCAAATTAGATGCATGCATACATGCATGTATGCATATATACATATGTATGTTTATATATGTGAACGGATACTACATGCGTATATACATACATACATGCATGCATGCATACATACATGCATACATGCACACCTACCTACATGCATGCATACATACAAGATGCGTGCATGCATGCATGCATGCGTGCATGCATGCATACATGCATACATCTCATGCATACATACATACACACACGCAAGCACACAAACCCACACACGTATACGTTCATACATACATACATGCATACACACATACAAACCTGTATACATACATGCATGCATTCATGCATATATATATACATACAGATACACATGCATGCATGCATACATACATACCTACACACATACACACAAGCATACAAATACATGTGTACACGTGTGTGTACATATATATATATATACTAGAACCACGCGCGCGCTTCGCGCGCGCTTAGGTTCTGTCGAGTCACAGACCCAGGAATCGTTGTGAGAAGAAATTGGTGACGCGAAGCGTCGTGGGGGCGTCCTTGGACGTCTGGGGTCTCCTGGGGCCTCTTGAGGGGCCTCCTGGGGGCCTCCTGGCGGCCTCTTGGGGCGGAAGGCTCGAGCTTGCGGTTCGTGGTCCCCCTCTGGGCCCCCTCTTGGGCCCGTCTTGGGGCCCTCTTGGGCCATCTTGGGCGCCTCTTGGGCCGTCTTGGGGCCCTCTTGGGCTGTCCTGGGGCCCTCTGGGAAGCTTCTTGGGCCGTCTTGGGGCGGTCTTGGGCGCCTCTTGGGCCGTCCTGTAACGTCGGAAAGCCCAAAAGACAACTTTGTTGAACATGTACGTTTTACGAAGGGAATGGGCCAACTTTTGCGTCTAGGGGCCCTCTTGGGACGCATGTTGGAGGCTTCTTGGGGCGTCTTGGGGGCGTCCTTGGACGTCTGGGGTCTCCTGGGGCCTCTTGAGGGGCCTCCTGGGGGCCTCCTGGCGGCCTCTTGGGGCGGAAGGCTCGAGCTTGCGGTTCGTGGTCCCCCTCTGGGCCCCCTCTTGGGCCCGTCTTGGGGCCCTCTTGGGCCATCTTGGGCGCCTCTTGGGCCGTCTTGGGGCCCTCTTGGGCTGTCCTGGGGCCCTCTTGGAAGCTTCTTGGGCCGTCTTGGGGCGGTCTTGGGCGCCTCTTGGGCCGTCCTGTAACGTCGGAAAGCCCAAAAGACAACTTTGTTGAAAAATGTACGTTTTACGAAGGGAATGGGCCAACTTTTGCGTCTAGGGGCCCTCTTGGGCCGCATGTTGGAGGCTTCTTGGGGCCTCTTGGGGGCGTCCTTGGACGTCTGGGGTCTCCTGGGGCCTCTTGAGGGGCCTCCTGGGGGCCTCCTGGCGGCCTCTTGGGGCGGAAGGCTCGAGCTTGCGGTTCGTGGTCCCCCTCTGGGCCCCCTCTTGGGCCCGTCTTGGGGCCCTCTTGGGCCATCTTGGGCGCCTCTTGGGCCGTCTTGGGGCCCTCTTGGGCTGTCCTGGGGCCCTCTTGGAAGCTTCTTGGGCCGTCTTGGGGCGGTCTTGGGCGCCTCTTGGGCCGTCCTGTAACGTCGGAAAGCCCAAAAGGCGACTTTGTTGAAAATGTACGTTTTACGAAGGGAATGGGCCAACTTTTGCGTCTGGGGGCCCTCTTGGGACGCATGTTGGAGGCTTCTTGGGGCGTCTTGGGGGCGTCCTTGGACGTCTGGGGTCTCCTGGGGCCTCTTGAGGGGCCTCCTGGGGGCCTCCTGGCGGCCTCTTGGGGCGGAAGGCTCGAGCTTGCGGTTCGTGGTCCCCCTCTGGGCCCCCTCTTGGGCCCGTCTTGGGGCCCTCTTGGGCCATCTTGGGCGCCTCTTGGGCCGTCTTGGGGCCCTCTTGGGCTGTCCTGGGGGCTTCTTGGGCCGTCTTGGGGCGGTCTTGGGCGCCTCTTGGGCCGTCCTGTAACGTCGGAAAGCCCAAAAAGCAACTTTGTTGAAAATGTACGTTTTACGAAGGGAATGGGCCAATTTTTGCGTCTAGGGGCCCTCTTGGGACGCATGTTGGAGGCTTCTTGGGGCCTCTTGGGGGCGTCCTTGGACGTCTGGAGGCCATCTTCAGCATCTCGGAGCCCTCTTGGAGGCCTCTTGGAAGTTTCTTGGGCCGTCTTGGGCGCTCCTGGGGCCGTCTTGTCTGACCGGGGAAGCCTCCGGGCCCCCCGGGGCGCACATTTGTGGTCGGGGTCCCGGCCCCGGGCCCCCGGACCCGGTGCGCCGTTATATGTATATATTATACAGATGCATTACCGGCCGGCCGCGCGGATGTCTTGAATCTGCCTGTTCCCTGGCGCGTGCGGAGCGCGCCATGAGCAGCGCTGAAGGCGCCGCCAGAAGGGGGGGGGGGGGCTGGCGGCGATGCCAAAAAATCCACGCGACAATCCGAAATGGTATGATTATGCGAGCATCCCCTCCTCGATCTTGGAGGGAGGACGGGGAAAGAGGAGGGCAGGTGAGGGGAGGAAGGGCCATAATGTTGAAGGGGGGCGGCAAAGAGGAGGGGAGGAGAGGCGTGCAGTGCCAGTTTATAGCAGGCATGTTGCCAGGTATCGTACTTCGACCTCGAAGCGCAGCTTCCAACCCATCGTCACCACCTGGACCGCCACCGAGCTCCGCGGAGAGAGCCTCCTTCTCCTCGCCCTCCACGGCCTGCAGGACGACCTTGGCAGCCACGTCGGTGCCACTCCAAACGCCGCGGTGGACAGAGCTCTTCAGCGACCCGGAGGGTAGCTCCCCGAGCTCAGCCTCGCCCCTGGAAATCTGGCAAAAAGCAGAGGCCAGCTGTCCTGGCAGACGCGACCTCGGGTACTGCGCATTGTCCGCGCCCGCTGTCAGCAACAGGCTGATCGTCTGCTCGGGGCTGCCGCGAAGTATAGCGAGCTCCAGCGGCGCGACGCCGTCTGAGTTCATCATGCCGACCGAGGCCTTTTGATCGATGAGAAACTCGAGGAGCTGCGTCCTTACAGTCGGCTGCGCAACCGCATAGTGCAGGACGGAGCGGCCAGCAGTGTCCTGCGCGTTGATGTGCGTGCCGAGCTCCAGCATGGTCCTCACCTCCTCGAGGTCGCCCCGGGAAGCCGCGCCGCAGAGGCCCGCCGCCGCCGCCAGCTGCGCGAAGCCCTCGTCTTTCTGGGCCCGCTCGGCAACCTTTGCCGCCTTCGGCTTGCCCGCCGTGCTCTTCTCCCTTGCCCCCACCGTCCACATTGAGAGCTGCCCGCGCTTGGCTCCCTGAGCTCCACAGGCCCCCCCATTCGGGGCCCCCCGTTGTGCGCCGAAGCAGCACGCCCTGAGCCACAACGGCCACACAAGGAGGGGGTGATGAGAAGGACAGCGACGACGAAACTCAAGGCTGGGCCCAGAAGCGCGGAAGACGTCGGCGCCGACCTCTCTCTTAGGGGGTCCGCTTTTGTCTCCTTTCCCTCCTCCCTCCTCCTCCTCCTCCTCCTCCTCCTCCCCCTCCTCCTCCTCCTCCTCCTCCTCGGAGGGTACCTCGACCCCGCGACGCAGGACGGGCCAACCCCCCCGCCGAAAGGCCCTCCTGGTACGCCCGCCGTCTCCAGCACGGCCCCGAGCACCTTGCGGGAGTTCACCTGCCGGGGGTGACCGCTCGGGCGCGCGCGGCGCGGAGGAGGAGGAGGAGGAGGAGGAGGAGGAGGAGGAGGAGGAGGAGGGAGGGAGGGGGAAGAGGAGGAGGAGGAGGAGGGAGGAGGGAGGAGGGAGGATGAGGAGGGGGAGGAGGAGGAGGAGGAGGAGGAGGAGGAGGAGGGAGGAGGGAGGAGGTGTTAGGTTTCGGGGCCCCACGACGTGACGGAACATGCGGTGACCTCGGACTCCCCGACGGCCTCAACGCACGGTCCGCCGCCGCCGCACGGCTCTGGGACCTCGGAGAGGCCCCACGGCGTGGTCACACCACACCCCCCTGGGGGGCCGGGGCTCTGTGGAGGCCTCCCGCTTGCGGGAACCAAAGCCCGGACAGCGGAGCGCCAGAGAGGTCTTCCAGCACCTCTCGATGGAGCTCCTTCGGAAGCTCCTGGGAGGTGTCTCTGAAGGAGCTTCTGGAACGCCTGCCGGCACACGCACGGGCCAACAGTTCGAGAAAGGCCTCCTCGGACAATCACCACACCCTCCAGGGGGCCCCCTCTGCGCGTGGCTGAGTGGAGGCCTCCCAAGAAGTGGGGCTGGATCCGGCAGGCTCGGCAGACCGCGCCCCGCCGCCACTGCCTCGGGCATGCCTCCAGCGGCGGCCTCGTGGAGAAGCACGGGCCCCTGCCCGCGCCGCACCGGCGGTGCAGCGGCGATGCGGCGCGATCCGCTGACCTCGGCGGCTCCCGTCCTCGAGTGGCGGATCCCAGGTCCTGCCTGCCACGAGGCGCAGTGGGCAGGGCCACCTCCGAAGGAGAGCCGCTGGCCAGCTCGGACACGGGCCGCCCGCCGCAGCGTGGGATCACTGCCGCGTCAGAGGGCACGGCTGGCACGGGAGGAGGAGGAGGAGGAGGAGGAGGAGGAGGAAGGAGGAGGAGGAGGAGGAGGAGGCGGAGGAGGAGGAGGAGGAGGGGATGTTCAGAAACATCCCGAACGGGGGTGAGGCGCAAGAGGTCCCCCCTCCCTGCATGCGATTCAGGGAAGGGGGGGCCCCCTCCGGCCCCCCTTGCGTTTCGGGGACGGGAGGGGGGGGGGGGCTGGGATCCCCCCAACCCTCCCCAGCGTCCACAGAACGCGCCATTTCTTGGGGAGACCCAAAGGTACCGATACTGCTACTCCCTGGACCTCTCTGGGGGTGCGTTCTGACCAGAATTTCGAGGCGAATCCAACGGTGGCGACGAGGGTCTCCCAGGAGGCCCAAAAAGGGGAAAACGAGAGAAAGCTAGAGGTATGGGTACTTTTTCCTCCTCTGATCTCTCACGGTAGTCCTTTTCCATCGCTATTACCACAGCTGCTGGGATTTACCCAAACGGATGCCTGCACACTCGGGAGGCCCCACGTGGTCTCGAAGGCACTGCACTCGGCTGCCGTAGCCGAGTGCAGTGCCTGCCGCTGCCGCCTCCGGGTTCCGTTCGTTGCCTATTGGCGGGCTGCTGGGTGTTCCAGCCACTGCCGACATGGAGCTCGGCCCCGTGCCACTTGGCGGTGTGTAAGGTTCTCGCTGTGACCAGCATAGCGTATTATACATCGGGCTCCATATATATACACACACTGTCACACAGCGTTCCGCACATCGAGCTGCAGCTGCACACACACACACACACACACGTGTATATATATATATAAAGCATAAACATATTTACACATATATGATTCCACAATTTAATCCCCAACAAAGATAAGGTCCCACATACAGTGGGCTTCGCCCACATGGCTGGTTCCACATGAAGAAGGTTCCACGCAAACACACACACACACACACACCCTTTCACATACGCACATCCCCTGCATATCCCTTCTCATCTGAACATTACGACTGTGTACTCAACTCCGTAGCCTTTCACTCTGATCACCTGCCTCCCACTTCTATCCTCCTCCCAAGTCCGTACGTCCGTCATACGGCATTTCGGTTCCTCCAACTCCACCTCCTCCTCACCATCATCATCACCATCATCACCATCATCAGCAGCATCATCATCATCGTCATTATCATCATAAGCATCATCAGCAGCAGCAGCATCCTCATCAGCAACATCATCATCATCGTCGTCATCGTCATCGTCATCATCATCAGCATCAGCATCAGCATCATCATCACCACCACCATCATCAGCAGCAGCATCAACATCACCATCATCATCATCAGCAGCATCAGAATCGACATCATCACCATCATCATCATCATCATCAGCATCATCAGCATCATAATCATCGTCAGTATCATCAGCATCACAGTCGTCATCATCATCATCCGCCTCATTCTCCTCTTCATCACCATAATTATCATTATTGTCATCAATTGCATCTCATCAGCATCAGCATCAGCATCAACATCAGCATCATCATCATCATCAGCAGCATCAGCATCAGCATCTGTATCAGCATTATCGTCACCATCATCATCACCATCATCAGCATCAGCATCAGCATCATCATCATCATCACCACCATCAGCATCATTATCATTAGTTATCGTCGTCGTCGTAGTTGACGTCATCGTCGTCGTCATCCTCGTCGTCGTCACCGACATCATCACCATCCCCCTCCTCTCCCTCCTCACCTTCCGGCAGCTCTTCCTCCCCCGTCTCCTCCACGTGCCATCCCTTCTCCTCCACCTCGGGGGAAACCAACAGGTACCGATAACACTACTCCCCGGGCCCTTCCTGGAATACACTCTGACCAGGACTTCGAGGCGAACCCAGCGATGGCGACGAGGGTATCCAAGGAGGCCCAGAGAGGGGCAAACGGGCGAAGGGTAGAGTTCAGTCGGGCGTGTCCCTCTACAGGAGGAAAATTCAAAATAGTCAAAGAAATTGTCTGGTGACGTTTTTGGTAACTATTTTTTGAACATTTTTGGAGTAGAGGTATAGGTACCTCTTCCTCCTTGGAATCTCCTCCTCCTCCTCCTCAGGCCTTCAGGCCGACGTCCTGCGACGTGATGCCGACGCTCTCGAAGAAGTGAACCACCGCGGCGAGCAGCTCCGCCTCTTGGTGGCGATGCCGGGGGGGGGAAGCGAGAACGGGCGGGCCTCCTCTGTGCAAGCGCGTTCCGCTACTCGCAAAGTCACTACTCGCAAATGGCCTGGATCCGCCGTGGGGGATCTACGATATATCACATCGAGTCGAACGTGGAGTTTTTCGGACGTTTGCGAGTAGGCACTTTGCGAGTAGTGGAACGCGCTCGGCGATGGTCCTCAGAAGACCCAGAAATCCCCGCCTGCTGAGAAGTGGTCTGAGCCTTCCGAGGAGGCACCAAAAAAACATGTCCTCGGAAGGCGCGAGGGCTTCCGAGAAGCCCCGCAGCCTGCTGAGAAGGCCTGCTCCATTCTCACTTCCCCCCTCGCTCGACGCCGACAGACGAAGGGAAAAACGGCATAAACATGCACTTTTCGAGGTCCGCGTGGATTTCTTGGATCCGCGCTGGACCCCCCTGGCGCGCGAAGCGCACCAGGGGCGGCGCCAGAGGCGCCGCCAAGGTGCTCCAGCGCAGGTCTGAGAAATCCGCGCAGAGCGCCAAAAAATTATGTTCATAGCGTTTCTCCTTCTTCGAGCCGAGCCTCCGCAGTGATGCCGGGCACGCCCACGATGTCCATGTTCCACTGGTAGTGCTCCCGCCTGCGGCCCCGCTGCGTCGTCTCGAACCGCCAGCACTGCGGCAGCGAGTACCACTTCAGCGGCAGGACGGCTGCGATGGCACCTTCCGCTTGATTTACGGCTAGGGCGAAATAGCCAAAAGAGTAATCGAAAAACCGTCACTTGACCCTTCTTGAATACTCCTCCTGTAGAGAGAAAGACCCGACTTAAGATTATGGTCGAGGCATGGCCACCAGAACGAAGAAGAAAAAACGACGTGAACATACACTTTAGCGCTCCGCGCGGATCTCTCGGATCCGCGCTGGACCCCCCTCCCTGGTGCGCGGAGCGCGCCAGTAGCAGCGCCGGAGGCGCCGCTGGGCAAGCATCGTCCTTCGAAGAAGAAAAAGCATCATAACCATAAACTTTTGGAGGAGAAGGAGGAGGAGGAGGAGGAGGAGGAGCCCGTCGTCGTCGTCGTGGTCGTCGTGGTCCTCCTCCTCCTCCTCCTCCTCCTCCCTCCTCCTCCTCCTCCTCCTCCTCCTCCTCCTCCTCCTCCTCCTCCTCCTCCTCCTCCTCCTCCTCCTCCCCCGCGTCGCGATGCTCGAGGAGCCCGTTCGCCGATGGCCTAAGGCCCCATGGAGGTACCCAACACGAAAAGCACTCCAAGGTGCAGGGCCCAATCACGCAGAACGTTCGGGCCCAATCACGCAGAACGTTCGGGCCCAATCACCCATGCCCCCTACAGGATACGAGAAAAAGAGAAAGCGGCATGAACATTGACTGTCGGAGCTCCGCGCGAAGTTCTTGGATCGGCGCTGCTGAACCCCCCTCCCTTGCGCGCGGAGCCCGCCAGGGGCGGCGCCGGAGGCGCCGCCCCTCTTCAGCGCCGATCCAAGAATCCGCGCGGACCTCCGAGAAATCTTGTCTATGCCGTTGCTTGTCCTTCGAAGAATGGGAGCTCCGTCGCCGCCCCGGGCGCGAGGAGCGCGCCAGGGGCGGCGCCGGAGGCGCCGCCAGGGGGGTCCAGCGCCGATCCGAGGCGTCCGCGCGGACCTCCGAGTTTATGTTCATGTCATTGGTCGTGCCTCTATTTCTGGAGGTGCGCTGGCCCAGGCAGGATCTCTCGATGCGTGCGTGCCGCTGCGCCTGCTCTCCGCCCCCAGGCCACCAGCGGGCGTGCGCGGCGAATTCTGGGCCCCAGGGGGGAGCGCACGCGGCGTGGCATATCTCGGCGGGCTTATTCGCTCCGTCGAGGGCCTCGGCGGCGGCCTCGGGGGTATGTCATTGTTCGTTCCCCTATAAAGAGGCGTCTCGTAGATTCCCCGCAATTCTTCTGCCTGGACCAGCGCACTCCTCCTCCTCCTCCTCCTCCTCCTCCTCCCCCTCCTCCTCCTCCAAAAACGGCGTCTCGTAGATTCCCCGCAGTTCTTCTGACCAGCGCTGCGGGCCAGCCGTGGCGGCAGCGGGGGGGCAGTGGGCGGCAGAAGCATAAGAGTGGTCGGGCAGCGACGACCAGGCGGACACGATGGGCGCAGCCCAAATGCAGAGCTGGACCCCGGGCAATCCGTGTGGGTCAAAGTGCAGAACCTATCGCAAGCGCGAGCGGCAATATTTCGGTGCACAGTCCCCCCCTCCCTGAATGCTGAAGTGTTTTTTCGCTCGTACAACGTTCCCTGGCTTGCCCTGGGCCTTTTTCTCACAGCCGCGGGCCGAACATCTGTGCACTCACGGCGCGAATGGGTGTCACCGAAAGCCACATGCTCATGAACACAAGGGACGAACATGCTTGGCACTGAAATTCAAACGCATCATGACCAGTCGGGGATGGACAGAACGCCCTTCAGTAAACCGCGGTTTAGTGAGAACGACCTCGGGCCCAGACCTGGCGGGCGCAAGCCTGGAAAATGACGGCCGCGGCGCCCTCTCGAACCGAAAACGGACAATCCACTAATCGACGTGTCAGGGTGGGGGTTCCGTCCACCCCCGAACCAGATCCGCCGAGGATGGTGCGCTGTGAAAAAGCGCAGCCTGTCTCCGCGCGCATGAGCGACAGGACCATGCGCGCCAGCGAGGGCGTCATCTCTGGCCGCAGGGTGACGGCGTTCCCCTCCTTGTC